GAGAACAGACTTCGCAGTGTTTTCAAGTAAACCTAGGGCCAAAAAATGTAACAAAAATACCTTAATAATATATGTTAATAAAAGTTATTCATGGTTCGCGAAATATATTCAACGAAGCGTGTATTTAAATAGATTTCCTGTAACTAAGCCACGCCAAAGCATTTCAGACCTTGAACTGCCCGAGATATTTTGACTTAGTTCTCTTACAGATTTTTATCTACCGTCTGTAAGGCAAAGAAGACCTCTTCTTTCTCTAATTTTACGATAGAATCTCGCTAGTTGTTTTGTTTATTCACGTTTTACTTAATGCTAAATAGGCTATTTCTCTTCTTGCTTCCCTTGACGGAATGCACATAAAATAAACGTTTAATAGAACAGCATATCCGTATTTTCTTACATCTCTCAACACGTAGAAAATTATTGTAGATATATATATATATTAAAAATTATTACATTAAAATACATATCCCAGAGTAGCAACAAATAATGAAGTTATTAAATAAATTAAGCTGTAAACAGCACAATTAAACCAAGCTGTAAACGGCACAATTAAAGCTCTCTGAATGATTGGTCGAAAACCATAATTCAAATTTAATAAGTGAATCAAATAAAGTCTTCAAATTTAAATGCGCGTTTCGTAGAAAAATATTTGCTATAGCACACTTAGTCAAAACAGAGGGACAGAATCGATCTTCATACAGTCAAAATTACTCGTGGTATCATTAAAATTTATGGGCATCCTATACAAATAAGTCCCATTGTATACATAAAACAGTTATGGATATTTTATCTTTTCATATGCAGATTTCAAAAAGATAACTTGCAATGCTAGAAAAACTTTAAAATGCACTGGTTTCAAATTATCATTAGTAAAAATGAAAACACCCGAAATTTTGTATTTAGTGAAATTCATATTTTACGGTCTCTTAACAAAACACTTCTCAGAGCCCAGAAATATGAAAATTAATATTTAAGTGATAACAATTTGGAGATTTCTTTGCAAGAGCCGTTCCCAACTAAATGTTTTTTTAAGAAAACAATTAACAATGTACAATGTGAAATTTTTTCATACAGGGCCCATCTAAAAAATTAAATGTCAAGTATGTACTTTTTTAACATGTAATTTAGTCAAATTTTTCATAACATAATAGGCTACCTTGATTTATTTCTTAAACAAGAATCATGACCAAACCTTTAAGAGGTATGTTTATAATGCAGCAATCTTATTCAAACAATGAGGTTCGAATCCCACGAACAGGCTGCCTGCATGGGTGCTTTCGTGGTTTTCCCCATGTGAAACATGTATACGAGCCAGTTTCCCTTAAAAAGCCCTCCACGAAGGCATCCCTCCCTTAAGGCAGAGAGCCCTCAAGTGCTTTGCTGTAATCTAATAAACCAAACCAAACCTTATTAAATCACCTTGTATAATAGCAAAATTAATTGCTAAAACAACATACTGTTTAATCTGGATTGAACAAATATCTTTGTACTAGGAAGATGACTTTTTTTTTTAAAGTACAAGCTTACAAACACAGGTTAAAATTACTAAAAGCTGCAGATTGCTATTACTATATGGATTATTCAGTTTTATCTGGTGAATTAATGTATTAAGTTTGTTTTCAGTGTAGTGTATCAGATGTGGTCAATACATAAAAAAAGCATTTACAGAAACAATGGTGCCATTTCTTTCCTGATACTTTAGTGCAAATCTTTTAAGCTTTTCGGTCATTAAAAATTTAATTTTAATTATGTTATTAAAATTACTTAAATGAGTGAAACTGTTATCTCTCATTAGAAAGGCAAGTAGATCCATCATAGTATGCTTTTAGCTATATGTCCAACCATGGAAAAAAATCTATTATGCCAAATCCAGCCAGTAAGAAAAATATAATCCAGAGAACCCTTCTAAATTTACAATACATTCTCGAAGCACTAAGATCCATACCAAAAATGACATCTTCATATGAATCACATATGAAGAATGAATCAAAAATATCAATATAATCTATTAGAATTCATACATAAAGGAAAATTTTTGCAAGGTAAGGTGAAATTTCCTTGAGTAATATTTTATCTTATTCCAAATAATATCAGACCCATTATCTACCTCAAAATAACTTCTAATAAATTAATTTCATTTTAAAATTTATTTTTTTTTAATAAATTCGTTTTTACTAATAAAGTAAAAATAACTGCCAACAAGTAACAAAAATGTAGTAATTTGCGCTTCTTATCACCATAACTGTAGCTGCTAATATCCTGAAGAGCAAACACTTTACATACATACATTAAAGAACACAGCCAGACATATAACCCAATAACAGAAATACTATAAAAGTTAAGGAAACCCCTGCAAAGAAGGAGCAAACTCTAGTCTTTAACACTTCGATCCCACCTGAATCTCTTGCCATCTTGTTAATTGCACAACTTGAAGCTTTCTTTTAATATGTAATGCCTGATATATGTTGTGAAGGAGGCTGGTTCTTGGTGACTACACTGCTTTCTTTGTCATAGCCTAAACCTCTTTCCAACATGACATGGAACTATATCAAGGCAGAGGCTAAGAAACTGCAAAGGAATCTATTCTAGCTAATTAGCTTGCGTATCGTACCTATTGCCATCCTTTACTTGAATTGACGGCATTATAGAGAAAGAAGAGTTCAGCTTAAAAATATAAAGTATATATCACAGATATAGAAATACTACCACCTGTATATGATAATGGAGCAGACGTACAGAAATGATATATCAGAGACAAGAGCTATATATAAAAGACAATTTAATACATTTAAATTTCATCTAATGAGCCAAAATTCAGTATTTCAAGCAGAAGCATCTGCAATAAAAGAAGCTATCAAATTCAGCATAAACAACAATAAAAATTAAAACAGATTCACTTTCTATGATGGATGCAATAGCCAACAAAACTCACAAATTTGCCACCATAAGGAAAATTATAATATATTCAATACAAATCTACCAAACAAAAATAATAACAGAATGGATTAAAGCACATACTGGTATTATTCAAAATGATGAAAATAATGTGGATGCTAAAAAAGCATCAAGTAATATTAATGCACAAGAAATAAATATCCCAATCCCCAAAATCATACTTAAAATTCTCCTTAAAAGCAAGAATTATTACTAAAATGAGAGCAATGGTAAAAACATCCCACAAAAAAGAAAATCATTCAAATTTTTACAAAAATTCCAAAAAGACGAAATTAGCACAAATCCTTACATAAACTGGTATATTATGGAACATCGCTCTTTCCCCATACACTTTTTAAAAAGAAATATGTTTTAATCAGATACCTGTGCTTATGGGGTGGGAAAGGCACCCCAGAATATTACCTGTTTGACTGCCCAACAACAGAACTACTCCCCTTAAAAAAGAAATCAAAACATAGAAATTTGCCTAAAATATGCAATGAAAGATAAATATTTAAGAAGCAGAATTAAAAAAATATCTGCCAACTTAGTTTCAAAAGAATTGTGTACAATACATTAAATTTATTGAAAGTAAAATGCATTAATAAAAATATGAAACAATCTCTACAGTTTAAAATATGTAATACTATGAACCACATACTATGAAAAAACCAATTAAACCACATCTGCACTGAACTTACAATGATCAGACTATGAATGAACTATTAAATAGAAAACTTTGCTACTAAAGCAAAATATAATAATCAATGAAAAATAAATTATGATGATGATGCAAAATGTATATGAAAAGCATAAATTAGTTTAAATACAAAATAAAGTGTAGAGGTATAGTAACTATGTAAAATGTAATATTACATATGCCAATGTATGTTATTATATAGAGCAAAATTACTGCAGTGTAAAGTACCAAGCATATATTGAACCAGCTAATAATGTAACAATATTTTTTATTGATAATAAATGTAAATCGCTGTGATATGTCAAAATATGAATAAATCACCTGGACTAAAAGATGAGATTTCGAACGAGCCCTCTGGTGATCTGGAATGGATCAAGCATTTATCCTCTCCTGACTCTTGAAATTGTCTGGAACTCTGTGAGGTGCTATGTTTCTAAGTAATTAGTCTATATGGAACAATATCTGCTTCGCTGTTTCATAAATAAGTGATGTTCCCTTTACACTATTTGTACGTGTATAGTACTGTTCATTTTTAGATAGATACCTTTACGCAGATATCTATGCACCAGAAGTTACAGCTACCAGTTGACATATAAATAATATTGTCATTTCATGCAGTTGAAGGCACATAAGATACAGTTTCATCCAGTTACTATTGGAATTTATATGAGTTATTTGAAATATCTTCCATTTAATGATATTCCAGCTTTGATTGAGTAGATGTGACTATGGTACCAAATGGTTACACTATCATGAGTAGGAAGCCAATTATCACTAGAATCTACACAAAAATAACTGGAATTTCTAAATCTTTTAAGGCTCGTAAAACAAAATTTTTTATTCCGAGTCCAGACACTGAATACTTGCTATTTTGTGTTTCATCATTTATGAAATATCAGTCTGAAAAAATGATGCTTCATAAATTATTAAGAATTTCTTCTGCCAATGTTAAATACCAAAATTCTAAAGATATTTAAATAGATTACCTTATTCTGAGCCAATAAATCAATTTCCTTGAGTTTAAATTAATTAGTTTCTATTTTCATAAAAACTCGTTAGATCTATCATTTCTTGATCTTATCTACAAATAAATTTCTAAAATTATTTTTTTATATTTCTGGCGAATTGATGCAGTTAATGAAATTAAAATTGCATTGCTGCAAATTAAACTGAAAATTTGAAAAACTGTAACACAATATAGAAAATAGGCTATTTTAAACACTGTATATTAAGAGATATAGAACTATATTGTTATATATATGTTCAAAAATTTCATTACGAACATGAATCTTTCACAATGCGCTTTTCTTGTAAAGGATTAAATATTTTAAAAAGATTAAAAAAAAAAAAAAAAAAAAAAGAGGACTGATAAAGGAAACTATTTATTTAAAAAGCTGAATATGATATATAAAAGTAACAAAATGACTAAATAATACATTGCATAGACATTCATTTCAAAGTACATATTAAATGCACTACTGAAACAAAATTTTAAAAAATGCATGATTGAAAAGATTCAGAAATGATAAAATCTGCATTTGCAGTAATTTTTTTATATATAAAATACTGTATTTAGAAAATATTCATAATTTTAAGCTGACACTAAATGCCAAATAATACAAACTGCTTGAACTTCTTTAATGTGGCATAATAAAGAGAAATATAATATATTACAAGTAGTTTGACATCAAAATTTTTTCATTCTTCGTGTTGAATTGCAATATATATGCAATTGTGAAGGTCTGTCTCTCCAGCTTAAAACTGCTTTTTCCTCCAAGGTTTAGAAATAAATCTAAGGCCTGCAAACTGTTAAAATAAATAGTGCAGCTATATCATACAAAATGGAGAAATAAGGAAATTACTCCAAAAGTAGCCCCAAAAGAAATTGTTTAATATGATTTTACGATATTCTTCTTTACCTATGGTAAATTATTACATAAAATTTTGATATATTCAAAATACAATTTTAAAAAAATGAACTTTTTTTTTATTTTATTATTTTAATAAATTAAATTACACTGCACTTCACTTCTAAGGCTTAACATATCTGATTTTTAAAAAATACACACATTAATACAAAACTACTAACTTATAAACATCAGAGAACGATCATCATATAGTCAAATGGAAGGCTAAATAAGATGAAAAAATTACAAAGCACCATACAATTCTATGAACTAGAATCTAATTTAGATTTCATGGACTTTGGCCAGAATTCATAGCATCAAATATCACAAATATCTCTTATCTTTTGAGCACTATTTCACTTTTTTATTAGTGAAATAATGCCAACTTATATCTCACTGTATCAGTTTTTCAAAAAACCACCATAAAATGGAAATGATACCATTGGTTCCACAAACAAACTATACACAATCTAACTTCTATCACTTAAATCACAGTTTTCTCTTTTATTTTCCTCTTTCCAGCTGTTATTCCTTTATAATTATTTTTAAAATTACAGAAATAAAAAAGTTACAGGTTTTACATTAGCAATTACATTTCACAGCCTTATAGATTAAAAAAAAATTATATAAATTTCCATAGAATCAGAACTTTTTAAATTTAAAGCAAAAGCTCTGCAAATCAATTTAGAACATGGTAAAATATTAAACACTGCTCATTATCAAGTGATATTACACTCATTTTTATTAGGATATTAAAGTGGTCTAATTATTTTTATTAATACATGTATGATACATTATATGAAGCAAAATTAAATTATTCTTGTTTTAAAAGTTCTAAAAATTGAAGGTCAATTTTTTTGCATATTGAAGGAAAATACTCAGGTTTTCATAATAAAAAATCATTCCATGACACCGTGGACTATACTATAATGAAATACTCAGTGGGCTACAAAAGTTCTTCTGCTTTTAAAGAATTACCAAGAAATATAATTTTCGGTACTAGAAAATGTAGTTTGCAAACATCTTTCCAAAATTCAAATTTAGAGAATATAGAGACATAAACTCCACCAAAAAAAAATTAAATATAATTTTCATGCATTGTTTAAAAAATTAGTTTTTCGTATTCCATTATTTATAGTTAATGATTTTATTTTGCACATCAAAAGAACCTTGAAACACAGGTAGTCCCATTCTTACAATAATAGGAAAATGCTACATATCCAATAAGAATCATGATTTTGTTGATGGATCTAGGCTAGCAGTAAGCATTAGATCAGATGTTCCCGAACCAGTTTTTTCCCCTGGGGGGGGGAGCTTTTGTACATATTTTACACTGGTATCTTGTTTTATATTTATATATCAAACAGCCAATTAATTTCACTTATTTCAGCATTAGTTAAAGCTCAGTCAAAATATCTTCAAATGAAACATTTATGAGAAATACAAATACAGACCTTTTAAACTCCATTCAAATTTTGAACTCTCATCTCACAATCTACTTTATTAAAAAGATTTTTTAAGCTTTAGACAGCTTTTAACTCTGATTATAAAGGATGAATCATTACAAAAAATTACAATTAAATTCTGAAAATTTTGTACCTATTTAGAATACAATATTAAAATTAATTACTTTTGCCCTTTTAATTTACTTTTCAGAATAAGCATTGAAAAAAAATCATTAACAACCATATTGTTATTTTTCCAACATTTCTTTTTAATTTAGAATGAAATCTTCTTAAACAAAACAAAATTAAAATATGCTTCTCATGAACAAAATACATGAGGTTAAAGCATAAACAGAAGATGCTAAACTGTAATTCATATAACTAAGCATTTGGCCCCATCATATTTTTTTTTTTAAACTTATAAACATTACACATCTTTTTAGGCTACTAAATTAAATACATCAGCCAATGAGAAATGGCTTTTTAGTTCATAAAAATGTTATCAATGTATACAGCCAACACACTTATAAAAGGCGAAAAAAGACTTCAAAACTGAGAATGCACAAAAACAAAAATACATACAAAATGCATTTACACAGCAAATATTTTATGCAAATTAAATTTCATAGACAGAAACATTTAGTACTGTAGATTTTACAACAACTTTGAAGTGACTATATTAAAAAATGGCACAAATGTCCTCAAAATAAAAGACAAGTTCTTGATTCAAGTTTCAGAATTAGAAAAACACTTCTCAAAGTTATACAAGTGAAATACAAACAATTTTTTTTTATATGACAAATGTATCTTTTAAAATATCAAAATACATTTTAAATATTTTCAACTGCTCCTTAATTGTATTTTTTTTAACCCAGATTAAAAATAATGTTTTATAAGAAAACTAATAAAAATTACATCAAAATACATAAATTTCAGATATAAATCAAATGAATGATCTTGATTTTTTTTTTTTTTTTGAAATAAATGCAATATCTAATCATTTTCCTACAAAAGATATACAAAATCAGTATCACTTTTTAAACATTTACTACACAATAACAGTCATCAGTACAATATCAAATCTCATAAAAGACTGACGATTTAATTAAACTCACGTTATGTAGTACAGCTTTAAATATACTTATGGAAATCTGCAAATTAAAAAAAAATATGAAGTAAAGCCAACAATAGCAAATATTGACACATAATGCAATGTTTCACACAAACTAATACATGATTAACTAGTCTTTTTCTATTTGTAAATCAACAATAGAAATTTAGTATAAATCAATTCTGCTACAAACATATAGGGCAAGGAAGAAACATTAAATATGACATCAAAACAAATTTATAAATTTGCCCATTTAAAAGTACATAATTTGAGTGTAAATTCTGTTAAGTGCGAATTTTAAAATTTGAAAGCTTACGGTTTTAAGTCATTATCAAATTTCTTAAATAAAGATTAAGATAAATTACATATATGCTTTTCTCTGTTAACCATTAATATTTTAATAAATAGTAAACTTTTAAAGTGAAATTATATAAACTTTAAATTTTGAATCTACATATACCTCAATTACAGAATTAAATACTTGCTCTGTCAAGTTGCAAATGTGAATTGAATAAAAAGCAGTACTCTTCTCATTAACTGCAACCAAAACTTTACTTTTTTTTATACCAATAAAATTAAAATGTGTACTACACATAAAACAAAATTCCAAGATAATAAATAAAAAAAAATGTATATGCAAGCTCGGTACTTGTGAGCAAAACTACATTTAGTAGCTATACTGTGTATTTACAAACACTACACAGAAAACTGTCAGATATAAAAATCCTAGTTTTTTTTTTGTTTTTTGTTTATAAAATAATGAAATCCACCTAGATTCCTTGGCTTAGTAATAACCTTCAGTTTGCCAACCTTATGCTGAAACAAACGGGAAAAAAATTAAATTATATATATGATAATATAAACTATAATTACTTAAAAAGTTAGAAGACTAGTATATTTATAAAAACTGAAAGTTTAAAAATAAAGTACTCTTTAATTAGATAAACCTATGAATCAAATTGAAACATGCCGATGCTAAATTAAAAAAATATATATTTTATTCTTAGCAATCATAAAATATAACTGCAGAAAATTAATGCTTTTAAATTTTAAAGATATTAATTTTGAGTAAGCATACATTTGAAGATCAAAAACAGAATGATTTCAACTAAGAACAAGTACTGTTTTTAAGGTATTTCTTTTTTAATACTCAATATATCATATAAAAGTTCTCTTAAAATTTTTAATTACCTTTCAAAGCTTCACTTTCTCCAGTTTCCACATTATTTAGATGCTGCAAGTAACAAAGTATTAATTTGACTTCAATCAAAACATTTATTTAATGTATTTCAACTTCCAAGATAGATCAGCAGAATTATAAATTTTATGTTACTGAAAGCAAATATATTCTCCTGGACATCAAAACAGTACTCAATACTAATTACATACAGATGTCAAATTTTAAATTTATTAGATTAAATATTTCACTGCAATGAATTCATGACATATATTTTAAAGCAACAGAACATTATGACTTCATTGCTAATATGATGCATATCCTCCCTAAACATTTCTTACTCATACTACATTATAATGTATTTCAGGATATCTTGTCATAACTAATATCATTTTGCTATTAGCAGATTCTTTTTATGATTTAAGTAATACGACTGTCTTCTGCTAGATATATTACTTCACTCTTAAAATATTCAGTTACAGTGATTGATATGTGTGGAATTTCAGTTCCAATAAAAATTGTAATTGTACTCTGTACTGTGATCTATGTATCATTCATAAGCGATCTGTAAAAGGTGACAAGGCATATTATTTTATTGTAAGAATTATCATTATCCTGAAAGAATGCATCTGATTTGCAATAATGTGAAAAACAAAATTCTGTTCCACTAAAAAAATCTGCAAGGTTTTTCCAATAGAATACCACTGAAAGCATGACACTTACTCTATTAGCTTACACAATACTTCATGAAATCGCCACAGTACTTTTGCAAGTGTCAATATTTATAAAATAAAATGATATATTTAGTGCTGAGTGCTTTCACAGTCAAAAGAAAATTAGATTTGTTGAACACACACTGTTCTTTTATTCATCCAAGGCTTTATTTAGCTTGCTTATGAACTCAAAGTATACACTTTTGATACTGGTGTTTGAAATAATCTGTGGATAAGAGTACTATTTTCATAACATTTGATGTACTATATGATATCAAACATTCCTCATTGCCATCATTAAGCATAACTGAGAAAGTACATAACTACTAAAGAAAAAGCTTTCTACTTGAGTCTAACATCGAGTATACGTAAGAAATTACAACATACTAACAGTTCCCTAACAAAGGCTGGAGAGCATATCACAAATCTCACTACCTTGAAAACACTCTGCTTCATTTTCCTATTTTTTCTTTTTATCTTTTATCCAAAACCTATGTAATATAAATAGAATAATACTAAGTAATGAAGCTTAATAGTAACATTTCAATTCTACTGTTTCATGAACTTGCAGACTGATCCTAACATATAGGCATTAAATATTTTAAAAACAGGTTTCTGCCTAAAATTTTAAAACAGACTGCCTGGATATATGAAAAACAAATTAAAGGTTGGGAAACACCAAAGAAATGTGAAAAGTAATAAAGTAATGCTAAGATGGAAAATATACAAAGAAAAGACTTTATTGATAAGATTTACACTGGTTGTTATAATAGAGATCAATCCATAGTTTAGGGTAAAATGACTAATACCAACCATGCAGCCAACCCATTTGCCTTGGATCGAGCCCAGGTAGAACTCACAGTATTCAGCAGTCTTTTTATATTTCAAGGTTTACTTAGCCACTGGTGGGACAAAACAGATGAATCATTGTCAGAGAATATCTTCAGATGAAGTCACAAATGATGATGTATATTTTACATTACGCATTTTTAGTTTGAATAAAGTTGCTAATAAATTCTTGCAGCAGTTATTATCCTTTTCACTATTATCACCATTTTGAACTGTCAGATAGTTGTCTATGATTGAAGTCATATCCCAAATTACCGGCTCAGAACATTCTAAATATACTTAATGGAATCTAAATAAAGAACCCACAATCCCATATTAGTATAATGACATACAGTAAATGAATGTTGTTAAAGAAGACCACTGCCAAATACAGCAATATTCATCACAGTTGCTCACTTTGGAGTTAAAGTTGAAATAACAATATGACTGGTGAAATAATGAAATAACAACATGTCCCCCACAGCATGTGTGGGTAATATTTACCATGTTGTTAAAAGTACTAAAACTGTTGGAACTACTCTGATATGCGCCCTCAAGTCGGCAAATTTCTCGCCCACGCTGCCATATTACAATCTAAATTTTTTGTCTACATTCCGAACTTTAAGCCTAATGTCTCCAAAAACGCGGTTTTCGCACATGCAAAAACTACATTTTGAACACACGATTTAAGCTAAAAATCCGAAACAAAAACAAAAAATTTAGATAGCAAAAACGTAAAGTTTCTAACCAAAAATATTTGACAAGAATCCATGTACACAACGACATGTTTTAACTTAAAAAAAATCTACGAATGGCACAATGTAGGCAACGAACGAATCTACGAACTATGCACACCTCGCTTTAATAAATTAACATAACAATAAATTTCAAAGAATACCATGTACACAGCATCCTGTTTAAACTTTAAAAAAACTACGAATTGCACAATTTAGGCAACGAACAAATCTACGAACTACGCACACCTCGCTTTAATAAATTAACATAACAACAATAAATTTCAAAGAATACCATGTACACAGCATCCTGTTTAAACTTAAAAAAACATCTACGAATTGCACAATTTAGGCAAGGAACGAATCTATGATTTCGCAAATCATACGAATCTACGCCCACCTCGCTTTAATAAATAACATAATAACAATAAATTTCAAATAATACCATGTACACACCGTTCTGTTTCAAAAACAACAATAACGACAGAAATTCATACTAAAGAACCAATGAATATAACATTCTACAAAATAAGAACAAGAATAAAATAAAATGCACTTACCATGAATTAATGCTTTTTCAAGCAGCAGAAATACCAATTTCATACCGCCTTTAACATGCTGCCACGTAATCACTTATTTACATGACAGCCAGACACACTCTAGAAAATTCATACTATGGTTCACAAACAAATAAAATCACAAATGCCTACTTCTGTCATGCACAGCCATTAAAAATAATCTCCCAGACCTTCTTTCCACACCTCCTCAACCCCTCACCCACTACTCCTCAACAGGATGGCCACAATGATATTTCCTTTTGCCGAACTTCAATTCAACAACTTCTACCATTTTATCTTTCCCTTCCATCTTCTCAGACACAGACGCGAATCAACGAGCTCCAGCGAAAGATTTTTCAACGTCAACAGGGTTGCCATAGAACACACAATCACGCCAAAAACCACCACAAAACACATATCGCCACATTTGGTGAAATTAGGGCGTATATCAGAGTTGTACCAAACTGTTTTCTTAAATATATATAGTCCTCTGGTTTAATTTTAACTTGCCATATACATATATTAAGTTAACTATGGTATAGGCAGAAATTAAATATATTTATGCATGACAAATATATCTAGAAATGAATGAAAATTACATGCAGAAATAATAATGATGATGATAATAATAGCAATTTTTTTATATCTATCAATATAACTGTTTTTGAGATTTATTACGACTATACAGTTAGATTTTGAAAACCGTATTTCAAGAAAACATTACACTTTTAAAGAAATTACTGGCACATTTAACAGGGTTGCCACTCAAACAGAAAAATTAAATTCCCTGACTTTTCCGGGTATGTTTTAAGAAAATTCCAGTCTATCCACATAATGCACAATGCCTGTGTTAAGAGGTAAATTAATTATGGTACCACTTGAAAACACAAATTCAGTTTGGTATATACTTATTTCACAGCTTAAAATTTAGATTCAATCCAAATAGAATTTGCAGATATTTTCCAATTTACTTTTTAAATTTGTATTTGTTTAGTAATTTTTATAAATTTTTCAGATCAGTTTTTTAATCATAACCTATAAAATTTTTACCATCACCTTAAAGTAGATGTATTTCTAGGCATACCAGACAAAAAAATTAGAGATTTTTAATTCAAAATTTCAAAAAATAAACCAGAATTTATATATTGGCATATTTTGAAATCTGTCTTGAAATTTGTTATAAGTTATAATAAAGCCAAACATTCTTTACACATTTTGTTAAATTTATTTGAAAGAATGAGCAATGCTTCCGCTCATGCACAATGAGAAAAAGGGAAAAGAAAATAGGTTACTATAAGTTAAGAATTTTGTCAAGTGCATTATTCTTTGCAAAAACTGAAAAAAGAAAACCAAGATAAATTTTTTAATTTCTTGCTAGGTTTTTAATCAAATATTATAAAACTTAAAATTTAAGCATAATTCGTGTCGTAGAATTGAAATAAGGAAAAAATCTATATGTTATTTCAGAAAAAGTGCAATTTTGTGTAAAAATACTTACGTTAGAACAATGCTATATATAAATCTAACACATATCCTAAATCATGCTTTCAAGACATAAAAAAATGAAAGTTAAATTAATTTTGTCAATCAGTCCAGTAGAATGGGAAATAAAGAAATGTCCCATTTTTTTTTATGCAAGGTGTACACAGCTAGAAAATCACATACTTGATTATCCATTTCCTTCTTTTCTTCATCACTATCTTCACTTGACAATTTATTTTTCAACTTCAAAAAGAACATTAACTCATTATCTTCATTAGCAGTTTCAAAATCTTCATAATCCTAATAAAAAATATTTTAACTTCAATTAAAAACAGATTACCCTGAAGCTTCAAAGAAAATTTTCATTTGTGATACATAATATGAGTGTAATATATATTTTCATTTAACTTATTACAGCCAATTTATAACAAATGGTCAAACAAATTTACAATTTATGGCAAGCAGTCAAAAAAAGCTTTATACAAATTACAAGATTTTTGTGCTAGAAGCATTCAGTTTATACCATCCTGGAGTAACACAGATTTTAAAATTAAGAGACTGGAAAGTGAAACATTGTATTTTGCTATACAGTCAAAAGTCTTTAATCCGGACTCGTCGGGACTTTGGTGATTCCGGATTATCGATTTTTCCGGATTATAGATCATCAGTTTAAATCTGGTAAGATGGCATGCAGAAATTATAAAATTAAAAATATGAAACCATAATTTATAAAATAATGAGCAATTATGATCTAAAGAGTATCAAAATTTACAAAAAAAAAGCTTAATATTTATTTGTTTACTTTATTAAACATTTCTTTCAATGCGCGCATACGTAAAGCATACATTATGCATAGCCGAAATTAGAAAATTGCAACCAGAAAACTATTTGATTTGTATTCCTGATATTTATAATGACGAGGAATTTGATTTAAATCATATCAAAGACGAAGTACATCGAAATGAAATACTAGATTTAATAAAGAATTATAAGCCGAATAAAATAAAAACATCTGCCCTGAAGATAACGGTAGTGTTGACAGATCAATTTCCAGCTCATTGCCCGCTGCCACGTCCCCACCCCCTGGCGCAGAGCAGCGTGAAATTGATAAACAGATTTTGGAACGGTTAGATAAACAAAGGATATGCCTTTATCCATTTTTTTTGAGCAATTCCACTTTTTGTTTGATGGACATCAAAACATACTTTCGTTTTCGTAGATCCTTTGGGAGCTCCAGCATCGGAAATTCTATTTGACATAATCGAAAGTTCAAGCTTACTTTTATAAAATTGCTCTTACAGTCTGCAAAAAATAATAAGCCGGATCCAATTCGAAGATTAAGGAACAACGCAATCATCAACATTAACTGAAATAGACAATTAGATAATTTTAGCTTATACCGTCCGTTATACATTAAACGCGCAGCGAAAACGTATTCTGCGCTTGTGCACACACAAATGCGCAGTCGTAAAGGTCTTATGCACACGCTTAAACGCCTATGCGCATGCGTCAATGCGGCGCATGCGCAGAAAGTTTTTAGCTTTGAGGTCCAGCTTATAGATCATTCCGGATTATGGGTGTCTGAATTAACGACTTTTGACTGTATTTATAAACATTAAGTAGCAGTGCCAAAAATTTTTTAAATTCTTTTAAATTTTCTGAAAACATTTAATTTTTCAAAGCTTTGCAGTAAGAAAAGAGCATGGTAATGTCTTAGTGGTAACAGAAGCAGAAGTAAAGTGGGTAGTATTCAACACGGCCAGCTTATTAAGGAAACAGGTTTCAGTTCTCAAAATTTTGAGTTCAAGTCCCAAATTAGCTTCATCATCAGTACTTTGTAAGTCATATGAAACAAATAAATTATCTAGAAATGCCACGGTCCAGAAATAGTTATTACTATTTTTAGAAATGAGAGGGAAAATACGAAAATTAAAATGAATTATGGGGCTACTGCTAATTTAAGTTATATAATTTTGAATTGCATATTTTTTACACACACACATATATGTAATTACAAAACAATTTTTTAAAGAAACATAATATAATCATGCCTAGTATTTTTGCAAATTAAGTTGCTGAAAAATTATCAGCAAAGACATAAAGTAAGAAATTTAGAACCAATTTTCACAAAGACTATACATAGTATATATGCGCACACAGTTATTTTTATTACTCTGATCTATGAATTTGCATAATGGCAGAAATGCCAGTATACATATTAAATATCTGATATTGCAATTAGTTACACTATTTAATTCCCTCTATTTTTACATTGTTTATAAAAAAAATGTTTATATAAGTACTTTAAAAACAATCAAAGAACTTTTCATTGCTAGAGTTTTGACAATTCATGCCATTATCTTTCCACTGATTTATATTCCAAAGAGCATTCAATTTACAACATTCAATTTCAGTGATTCAGTTAGGAAGTTAATATAAACTCAGGATTTTAATTTAATGTGCAAAATGGAAGAAGGCACTCTATATTATTTTATCAACAGTAATTTAAGAAGGAAAACTATGACTCCTAATTATCAATGGAGGTAAATTATTAAGAACAAGTGAAACTTCAAAATGTTAATTTTTTAAAAATAATTAACATAAGATCAATAAATTCATTGGAATAACCAGGAAATGCAGGAATCAAGAAATTGCACACAGACAGGAAAGCAAAAAAACTGCACCTTACACTCTTCACTATTAGGTAAAGATAAGTTAAGAATTTCTGATAGCTGATCTTTTACCCTAACAAAAGAAAGATAACAGTTACCAAAGTTAATTTTTCTATCGAAAATTCAGACAATAGTTTAACCAGAATTTATAGCAAATATCTTACACAATACAGTAGTCTCAATAGGAAGTTTCATTACATCGAAACTTAAACTGTCTGAAACAAAGATGAGTATTTCAAGTAAAATTATTGCAATAGAAAATGATACTGAGAGATATTTTAAGAAAATGTAATGAATCAAAAACAAAATTTACATTCCCTGAATATGACAAAAGGAGCTGAACTGATTATTTACAAATAACATGAATCTACATTTGAATGATAAAAAATCCAATTACACATTTTCAGCATGTTAAGTCCTTTGTGAAAGTGAAAATTTTAAATTTTATAATAATATTTCAAATTATTCTAGTTGCCCCATAATGAAAATTATAACCCTTCCCCAGGACAGAATCATGATTTTAAAAAATGTAAATTAAAAAGATTTCAATTTTTATACCTTAGTGCTGAGTAATTAAACATTTTTTATTTGAATAAAAAAATAGACACTTTTGATTATCCACAAATCTAAAAAGTCACAACAGTATTCACGAAGCATCACAGTTAGTCAACAAAATACCTGCGTGCAACATTGCCAAAAACAATTTATGTGGAAATCTAAGTATGCATGTTGTAAACATCTATTTCAGTATACATAAAATTGCACTCCTAAAATTGTATTGCCATTTTTCTGATTAGTACATCTTTCTGCATTAAGTACATTTGTTTTTAATATACTGAATCATAATAGAATCATGGAGTTTTCCAGCAGATGAAAAAGAAAGAGCTGCATTTCTTCAAAAATATGGCATTTTAACCAACAACAGAAAATGTAAAAATTTGCAAGCTGAAGTTATACACAAGCAACCAAATTTAATGGGGTTGCAATGTTAAAAATCACAAGCAAAGTGTTGGAACACAGATTGGAAACTGGTTTGAAAATAGCCATACTTTATTTACAACAACTGTTCAGTTTATTTATTGTTGCCCAGTACACAATGCCAAAATTGTACATAAAGTCAAATTACTACAGTTTTCCTAATTAAAACTATTTCTTGAAAAAAGGTAACTAATTCAATTTATTTCCTTGTTTCTTGATTTTAACCCTTTCAGGATGGGCACCCTATATACGCATTCCCTAAGAACATCTCTTACAGCCGGGCGTCCCATTCATGGATTGCTAAAGATTGCATTCAGAGGACGGGTGATGCGTATACGCATTTTAAGGTGGAACGTTTTTCTGAAGGCCACTAGATGGCATCCTATGTCCATTACCTTTGAAATGAACACAGTTTTAGGTTCCTGACCTTGAGTTTGATATACAGTCAAAAGTCGTTAATTCGGACTCGTCGGGACTTCGGCGATTCCGGATTATCGATTTTTCCGGATTATAGATCATCAGTTTAAATCTCGTAAGATGGCATGCAGAAATTCTAAAATTAAAAATGTGAAACCGTAATTTATGAAATAAAGAACAATTATGATCTAAAGGGTATCAAAATTTGCAAAAAGAAAAAGCTTAATATTTATTTGTTTACTTTATTAAACATTTTCTTTCAATGTAAGTTGTTTAAGTTTTGCTTCGTTTCATGTGATAATACTTTCTATTTAATTCTATTAAACAGACATAATTTCTTGTTCAGTTACAAAGTTCCGCCGTTCAAGTCCTATAATTGCTGTGTCAAGAACAGCCACTAATTTGTCAATCGAAATTTTTTTGTTTTCAATAACCTCTGTCACTTTTCTTCGCTATCGGAAGCGAATTATAATGACCAGGAACTTGTTTTAAATCATATCAAAGACGGAGCATATCGAGATGAAATACTACATTTGGTAAGGAATTATAAGCCAAATAAAATAAAAACATCTGCGCTGAAGATAAGGATAGTGCTGACAAATCAACTTCCAATTCATTAGGCGCCCGCCACCGAGCAGCGTGAAATTGATAAACAGATTTCGGATTTCAAAACATACTTTCGCTTTAGATCCTTTACATATTAACAAATATATATCGGAAATTCTATTTGATATAATCGAAAGTTTAAGCTTACTTTTACAAAATTGCTCTTAAAGTCTGCAAAAAATAATAAGCCGGATGCAATTCGAAAATTAAGGAACAACGCAATCATCAACATTAACTGAAATAGATAATTAGATAATTTTAGCTTATACGTCCATTATACATAAAATGCGCACGCGAAAACGTATTCTGCACTTGCGCACACTCATATGCGCAGTCGTAAAAGGTCTTACGCGCACGCGTGAACGCCTCTGCGCATGTGTCAACGTGGCGCATGCGCAGAAAGTTTTTAGTTTTGATGTCCGGATTATAGATCATTCCGAATTATGGGTGTCCGAATTAACGACTTTTGACTGTATTCTGTTTGACTTTGGTATTTTATTTATCAGCTGTTGCGAGGGCGGGGGAAGGGCGTGCTAATGAAAACATTCTCATGTCTGATTTATATCCAATTTCTTTTTTTATTATATTTTTTCCCTCTACTATGTACGGTCTTTTAGGGTTACTGCA